GCATGTGCTTTTCCAATATAGATTATAGTTTACATACCTGTTGCTATGGATGTTGGGTTTTTCATTATCCAGTTGGGAATAGCAAGCCCAGTGAACATGGAGAATCCAAAGATGAAGATGTTGCGTGAAGAGTTCATGTCTGTATACTATTCATAATGGAAATTAATCATATTTTATATGAAGAATAGTACTGATTCAAACATTTGGTGTCAGTATACTGATTCAAACATTTGGTGTCAGTAAGATTTAATTTTTTAAAGAACGTTAATGATACATGTAACATAATGTTAGAATGTAATAATGTTACAAAAAAATTCAAATAAATTCTGCTCTTTTGAACATTCTATTAATCAAAGAATCCTGATAAAAATAAATGTAATAGTTTTTGCTCAAATATTAAGGAGCACAGCTGTTTTCAAAACTGATTACAGCATGCCGGACACTGAAAACTGGAGTATGAAATGATGAAAATTCAGTCTTCCCATCACAAAAATAAATGAAATTTTTATATATACATATATATATATATATATATATATATATGTAGTTTTAATCAAATAAATGCAGCTTTAGTTAGCTTAAGAGATTCTATCAGCTATAGTACATAAAACATTTGCACTGACCCTAAACTTTTGAACGGTGGTGTTGGTGCACATTGTGAGCATTTCATTTCCCCTAATGTGATGCTTTTTGCATTAACCATACTGTTTTTACCTGTAGGTTTGAAACACCAGCAGCCATAATGACTCCAAACATGACCAAAAACATTCCAGGTTATTGTCCACAACCATAACATCATTTATACCGTCCAATTTTTCCAAACATTCCCATTATAATCATTAAAAAGCCACTGCACATAATCACCATGCGACTGCCAACCTGCAAAAGATGAAAGGTTTCTCTCGATTAATGTCATAGTTTCACAGAAATCATGCCAAACAATCTCTCTCTCAAAAAAGTAGTGTTGTAAGCCTATGCAATCACTGTGTGTGAAGTAAAATCAAATTACATTTAGTCTTGTAAAATTTATTGTGAAACTTTGTACCTTAGTGATACCCAAGGCTCCTACGTTCTCACTGTAGGAGGTGGTTCCGTTGCCTGTTCCCCAGGCACCTGCCAGCAGACACCCAATGCCTTCAATGCCAATGCCTCTGTTGATGGCATGTCTGGGAGGTGGTGGGGCTCCAGATAATCTGGCACAGGCATGATAATCCCCCACTGACTCAATCATGGAGGATATGACCCCTGCCAGGATTCCAAAAACTCCTGCCAGACTAACAGTTGGCACTCCCCATTGACCTGGGAATACAGTTACATAGCCATAAATAAACCATAATATGGATTATGATTCCATATAAGATTATGGTTCCTGTAAAATACAGCAATGACCATATAAAATACTGGGTCTTAATTGTTCTGGTTAATATACCCGGATAAGGAAATCTGAACCAAGGCGCCCTGCCCATAACATCTCCTTTAATGTCAGTCCGAGCTAGATAGCCATATTTATCAGGGTCTGAGGGCAGGACATTGTAGATCGTCAGCAGGTAGCAAATCAACCAGGACAGAGTGATTCCTAGCAGGACCTGAGGAAACACTCCTTGCTTATAAAAGTAATTTTATGGAGCATTGATGTTTAGAAAACACATTTTATCAAGACTTACAGGCAGAATCTGAAATATGTAAATCCTGCTGGTGTGAAACTTCTTGGCTTTGCTGTATTTGGGGAAGGGGATGGAAATATGGCGAAGATACTGCGAGAAAATCACAATCAAACATGTCGTCCTGTGGAGGAAAATGAGACTGTGTTATGGCTCTGTGTGAGATTAGGTTTAAAAGAGCATTACATGTCCAGAGATTACATTCAGCACTATATCACTATAGCACCTATACTTAACTACAGTATTCAGTTGGTGAGCGGAAAGTCAAGGCTAAACCTTGTTGGACAGTCTGATTATTTCTAGTGAATCAGTTCTCTTGGATGATTCATATATGAACCATTTCACACAAAAAATTATTCACAGGTTTGAGTCAGTTTATATACTACTGTGTTTTTGATCACCTTAAATGTGGTTGCTTGTTTGTTCAAAATCAGTCAAATATGTGCAGTGTAGTATATAATACAAAACATGTATATGCCATTTTTTAGTCATTTGATGTAGTTATCTACCCTGAAAGCAAAATATAAAAACTTTAAAAATATATATATATATATTCTTTACTATAGTCTACATACTTCCGATTTTTATTAATGATAATTAATTTTAAGAAGTACACACATGGAAGAGATGCCCCAGTGGTGTCCTGCGTTCATGCCAGTGGAGTCAAACAGTGATAGGCCGATTAGTGAAATAGTTGGTGCAATGGTCAAAGGGCCAATGAAACGCATGAAGAGGCCAATTAGACCGGAGAATCCCACTAGCACTTGGAATAGGGAGCCCACCATGATTGAGCCTTGGAGCTGTGGAGAGATGAAAATAGAAACTGAATTTTAGCATTAAACAATAAAGATATTATTATATATGTTGTGCTGATCTAAAAAGATAATATGTGACCCTGGAGCACAAAACCAGTCTTAAGTCGCTGTGGTATATTTTTAGCAATAGCCAAAAATACATTGTATGGGTCAAAATTATAGATTTTTCTTTTATGCCAAAAATCATTAGGATATTAAGTAAATATCATGTTCCATGAAGATATTTTGTAAATTTCCTACCGTAAATATATCAAAACTTAATTTTTGATTAGTAATATGCATTACTAAGAACTTCATTTGGACAACTTTAAAGGTGATTTCCTCAATATTTAGATTTTTTTGCACCCTCAGTTTCCAGATTTACAAATAGTTGTATCTCGGCCAAATATTGTCCTATCCTAACAAACCATACATCAATGGAAAGCTTATTTGTGCAGCTTTCAGTTTATGTATAAATCTCAATTTCAAAAAAACTTTCCATCCATCCAAATATGCAGTGCCCCAAAAATTATACATTTCTCTGGGTTCGAATATAAAATATTAAGCCATGTTATCACACGATTTGTGATAATAAGTGATGCTATTCTCACTATTCACTATTTTTGCAATTACCAACTGTTTCCAAGGTCATTTTTAATGGCTATATGCAGTCAGTTTCCTTCAAGTTCACACTGGTTACCTTCAAGTGTCCAATTTAGCCAATTTAGTGTCCATCTAGCCATTTTATTTCATTGTCTTTTTGCCGATTGTTTTGGTTGAGGGTTATCTATTGCAATGACTGCCACATTTTAAAGTGTGGTTTAAGTGTCGAAATATATTTAGAACCACTCGACATATGTGAACCTGGATCACAAAACCAGTCATGAGGGTCAATTTTTCGAAATTCGATCTATACATAAATCAGAATAAATAAGCTTTCCATTGATGTATGGTTTGTTAGGATAGGACAATATTTGGCCGAGATACAACTATTTGAAAATCTGGAATCTGAGGGTGCAAAAAAATCTAAATATTGAGAAAATCGCCTTTAAAGTTGTCTACATTAAGTTCTTAGCAATGCATATTACTAATCAAAAATTAAGTTTTAATGTATTTACAGTAGGAAGTTTACAAAATATCTTCATGGAACATGATCTTTTACTTAATATCCTAATGATTTTTGGCATAAAAGAAAAATCAATAATTTTGACCCATACAATGTATTTTTGGCTATTGCTACAAATATGCCCATCGACTTAAGACTGGTTTTGTGGTCCAGGGTCACATATGTTCATTAGTTACATACATAGACTATCAGGTACTGAGATACTCACCACTTGCATTCGACTTTGCCAAACATTAATGAACTCAGATGAGGAGGTGTTAACCAGGCTGACGTTTTGTGTCCAAGCTGGACATGTCCATTCAGGCATTGATAGCAAAGCCATGGTGGGTGACAGGAGTGTAAAAGTTCCACCCTGTAGAATGGGTAACCTTGCATTAGGAAAAAGAAGAGCCTTGTCACCAAATGATTAACTCTTGTTGTTTTTGTTCAATAAGTACATAGGTTCTTCCGACTTTTAATGTTGAGACGTGTCTTTCCGTCCCTCTGCATTTCAATTAAATAATTTCATGTTCAAACCCTTTCGTCAACTTATCAAGTTTAGCATCTCATTCTAAACCCTTCCTGATTCCTCACTAAAAGCTAAGTCTTTAACCTATCTCAGCAGACGATAAACAAGGTAAAGCTTGTATGTTGTTAATAGTTCAGATGTATGGCTCTGTTATAGTATATAATGATTTTATTGTACAAGATATCATCTGAGGTGTGTGTTTACAACTGCAATCTTGCACTGAATCAGTTACACCTACAAAAAGCAATTTAGATGGTGTTGGTAGTATTAAGACATATTTTCTTGAACTAATACAACAATTTCACTGCTTTACACAAAAGGGAGCTCCACAGCTGAGAGGCCTGAGGAATGTGGGTTTAAAATGTGCTGAACTTCATGGTAATAAGATGGAAAATTCCAAATCCTATTATGGGTTTTAGCTTCTGCAGGAATCACTCTGACCAAAGTCCTACATATTTCTGCTGTACATCAGTAACAGACGGATTTAGATTCATCATGTTTGATAAGTATAGAAGCTAATGCTCTTGAAGATCTGTAGAGGGAACATTTAGGATAACTTAGGCCTGTTATTCAGGTCAAGTAGCCATAATAAGAGCGCAATAGGTCTTCAGCCTTAAACAAGCAGAGGCTTATCAGACGGTGAAAACATTGCTAAGCCTACATTATTCACACTTTCCTAGGTCAGTGAACCCATGGATTGAATGTTTGGATTGTTGTCCTGGGAGATGGTTTATCTGGAACGTTAGTAACTCTTTTTTTATGATTTTATTTTGCGGAGAGGAACACACACCAATAAATCTAAATATGTATATTTATATAATGTGTATAATTTGTATATAATATTTTAGATCAATATTAAAAATGTTAAACATTTAAGCATATAAAATTGATCTTATGACAATAAATTGGATACATTCAAAGCAAAACCTGCCTCAGAAAATCAAGGCAAACGTATAATCAAGCAAGCTTTTTATAATGAAACACCCATGGTTAAATAATTGACAAAGAAGGCCCCATGTGTCTCAGTAACCACAACACAACCCTGATTCATGAAGATGATCAAAACCCAGTGATTCATTGTTTAATTACACCTCATCCTTAAAATATTGTTTACATGTCATGACATATCTTCCCACTCTGTGAGCTGACCTTGGCCTTGGTTCTGGCACTGCTTTTGAATTCTGATGTTTCCCTGTGAAACATATTATTTTGCCATGAGTGATAAAAGCAACCGTACCTCACTCCAAAAGTGACCTGCAGTAAGGTGCACACCCCAGACACGAAGAAAATAGTGCTGATTAGGTGACTTTGCGTGAGGCTGTCATGTTGTAGACAGAGGCCTTGAGACAGTATCAGAGGAATGGCTATGATGCCACCAAAAGCCGTAAGATAGTGCTGTCAGAGAGATGGAGAGAAATTGTTATGTAAGTTCTTTCTGTGACTTACTAAACACATATATACAGTGAAGTCTAAAAGTTAAAGACTACTAGTGAAAATGCTTTTATTTTGCATAGACATCAAACTATTAGTATAGAAATAAGTTGAATTTTTTAATTATTTTAGAATGGGTTTTTATATGTTCCCCTTTAACTTTAATATCAGTTGCTTTGTCCATAAACTCTACAAGTTGAACATTTGAAAGTACACATGATGACCACCAACTGAACACGTGATCAATGATATAAATGTGCTAATTTAATTAAAAATAGTGCAGAATCTTAACCCTATACAGCCTATTTGATCATATTTGATGCATTCATTTTCCAAGGCCTTTGAATTATCAGCATGATCAAAACATTGCTGAAAAGTTGAATATTTAAATAGCATCTGCTAAATCATATTATTTGGAGATACAGAGTGACATTTGATATTTAAGTAGTCTATACTGTTATATAAAAATCTCTTTAATTTGCATTACAAGGTATCAGCTATATATCTAATTTCAGCTTCAGTTATTATTTATAATTTTCATATAAATAATAACAACTGCATTTCATTGCATATTTTTGCTCAGTTTGGGCTTCTGAACAAAATTAAGGTGTTTTCATACTAGATGGGCCATAAAAATATTTGAAAAATCTCAGATTTTAAATGTGGTGTTTTTTGTTCCAGCTGTTTTTTGTTCCAACTGTACATTGAAATTGTTCTTTATTGGTACTGGTGAATACAGTGCTGTTCATAGTGCACACTCTAATCAAGACTGATTTCAATTGATTTATAGGAATCTGATGATAAATCCTATCATTCAAATCTAACATGTTCAACATCTTTTTCACAGGCAGGTTTGTGTGTGGCACTGACCTGAATCCCCAAAAAGATGCAAAGGTACCATGGTGGAATATCAGTGACACAATATGCCAACTTGCTACTGTGTCCCTCTTCTGAGAAATTATCACTTCCATTTTTATTCTCCGGTAACTCACAGAAATGGTCTACACCATCAACCTTAAGTAAAAAAAAAAATCCAGTTTCTGACCTAGCAGTTTTCTGTCAACAAACTTTCCTAATTTTATCAATTTCAAGTCATTATATAAATATAATTTCACATATAAATCACATATACATATAATTTGTTTTCCTATCCATTTAATTGGCTTTGCACGAAGAAGAAGAAGAAAAAACAATAACCCTTCTCACTCTCAAGAGTGTTGTTTTTTCGGATAAAGATTTAAACATGTTTTTTGATTGATCAATATGCAAAAATAGCTATTTCTTTCATACTTTTTGTAAATTAAATATTACATAAGCATGCGCTGTAAAACACACACACACTGCTCCAGTCCACATTCCAGTTACTAAAACGTTGCGCATACCCCCAATAACAAACACATGAGTAACACATGCATTATCGAGAGTGATAAGAATCTTTGGTTACAACACCGATCATAGAAATGATCACATGCCATAGATTTTTATAACTGTGTGGATTTAAAGATCTTATAACTTGACTGCAGTCTGACGTAACTTAGATTTACACAATGAAAACAAGACCCATTACACACCCATGATCACAGTACATTCAAATGTAATGTTCCTATATTCAATCTGTCTACTTCCAGAAACTCCAAGGCTAATTTAACAAAGAAATGAGTAATTCTACCTAAAATGTATGTCTATAAATTAAGGTTACTCACAGTAAAAGCATAGTTGTCCAACCCGTCACTGGTTTTCTCTGGAGCCATGAGTGTGGAGGCAGTAGACAGTGTGGAATTCTCAATGGGATCTCTAATAAGAGAGAGGGCAAGAGCTAGTTAAGGACAGCATAAAAAGAAGAGACAAGAGAGAAGAGAATGGAGGAGTAAAAACAGAGACACGGGACAGGGTTTGGGGATGCTGCTACTGATTGTAAATGCTATGGGACCCATCAGCTGCTCATGTGAACTCAATTACACCACGACTAGCAGGCAGCTGACCAGAGCCACGTGCTGCTCTGGATTCTGGTTTAGGAATACACATTAAGACACACAAATGTGTGCATGTGCACCAGTGCATTTGCATGCATGTTAATCACCATGCAATGCATCTTCAAAGTCTTTCTTTCTTTCTTTTCTTTCTTTCTTTCTTTCTTTCTTTCTTTCATTCCTCATTCAAAAAAGCAAAAGATAATAATGTATTACTTATCTTAGGCCAAGGGTCCTTTTATGTTGTTGAATGCTAGGTTTACATAATAACTTGGCTGCAGGTTTCATATAGTTAACTAAAACTAAAACTTAAAAAAAGTTAAAGTAACATTTCAGTTACTTAAAATAAACATAAACTGAAATGTAAAAATATTAATAAAGCTTAAACCTATTTTATTTAAGCTAGTTGTGTATTTTTTTTCATTTTCCTTAAAGTAGCTCAAACTATGTGAACAAATTAAAACTAAAATAATAATAAAAACACTGACATATAAAACAAATGTCAAACACAAAAATAACTGAAACTTTAATTACAATTAAAATGGAAGCAAAATATAAAAACATATTTCAAAATTTAAATTACAGTAAATTTGTTGGAATAAAAAATCCAAACATCCACAGTACAAATAACATGTGATCATTCTAGTCAGATAAGATTTTCATACACTGCCTGCAGCTTTTTTATATTTACATGTATTTATTTGCCAGATGTTATTATCTAAAAGCAAATTGCAGGGCATTCAAGGTATACATGTGATATTTACATTTTAACTGCTGAATTACTAAACTATATATAGCCTACAGTGTGCATTCTCCTTCTTATATCAATTATGTGGTAGTTTTATTGTTTTTATGGAATGTTATAATAATCTGTAATATGGTACTGGCAGTATTACTGCAATGGCTCTCAGTTTTCCCCATATGGCATGACAACGTGTTAATGTAATATAAAGGATTTATTTTTTTTGTAGTCAAGCCTTTAAGTTACGTGCCTTCAAAAATAATTCTAGTATGAGAAACATTTACTATAGTAAAACATGTGACAAACAGCCATTTTCTTCCTTGTATAAATTATTTAGTATGCTTACTGAATGTACTGCAGAAAATAATGAACATGAGCAGGGTTTTACATTCCGGTATAAAGCTTTCTAAACCAGGACTTCCCGAGTAATATGTATCACATGTCTCTCATTTTGTGGATTTATTTGAGATAGTGACAGGACAAACCTAATCATCCAATCATTCTTTCATCAGATCCACCCGTCGAATACCCATTCGGGCTGCTACTTTTAGAGATCAAATCATCCTGTGAACATTTCTTTCATTAGACCATTAGAAAATAAGACATGCCATGTACTTACCTTAATGGACATTCCTCAGATTAAATGAACCTCACTGTTTTAAAAGTCCCATCCTGTAGTTAATGATTGTGAACAGTGTTGGGGGTAAAGCATTACAAGTAACGCGAGTTACGTAATCAGATTACTTTTTTTCAAGTAACTAGTAAAGTAACGCATTACTTTTTAATTTACAAGACAATATCTGAGTTACTTTTTCAAATAAGTAACGCAAGTTACTTTTTTTTCCAATTTATTGATTGACAGCTCTCCTGTCCCCATGTTGAGAGAAATTAGAAGATGTTACTGTAGTTCTAAAATAAATATGAATATGCATTAATTAATCTCACTCCTCAAAATTAATTAAAATAATGCAACTCAGAATATGACCCAAACCTGCAATAATTAAATGTTAAACAACACAAATATGCTTTATGTATCCCATTCTATTAACCAATGTCTTTGCTTCTGACCTTCGGTGATCCAGTTCAACCGTACTAATAAGCAAAAATTACTCTAGACAAACATTTGTGTGTCTTTTTTATTGCTGAAGTGTGTTGAAATTTCTTCTTCTGCATTCTACTGTACGGATGTAAATTTACTTTCCCTTCAGCCTGAGGCTTATTCATTTCACTTTTGGTGTGAAAAGGCTTTTATATTTGCCAAAGATATAACTTTTTTATTTTAAAAACAAACAAGCAAGCCCTGTCCAGATTTAAAAAGTAACGCAAAAGTAACGTAATGCATTGCTTTCCGTAAAAAGTAACTAAGTAACGTAATTAGTTACTTTTTTATGGAGTAATGCAATATTGTAATGCATTACTTTTAAAAGTAACTTTCCCCAACACTGATTGTGAAAGGAAGTTTTCCAGATAATGCACATGTGATCTTTGACCTCTGCACACACATAACGATGTGCTTGATTTCCAGGCCAGTCAAATTATTGTGTTTGAAAGCTTGAGACCAGTAGGTGTGCCACACTGTCTGAGAAAACGAAATCACATGCAGGCTGGTGAAATCTGACATTCAGAAGTACAGTGTGTCATGAGGTCTTTTTCTCAGCCTGTTCGCCTCTCCCTCCATAATGTACTTAGACATGCTTCATTCTGGATAAGGAATGTGTCACATTTAATGTTACATTTATATGAGGCAGCTTCATGTCTCAATTATAGAAACTTGTATAGTTTATAGTCCTTTTGGAACTGGGACCTGTGGTGTCAGTGGCCTTCTAGTTGTTGGTTGTCAACTGCATCACTTTCAGAATCTTCAGGATTATAGCTCAGATTTGAATGGTTAAGATTTGAAACCTTTAAACAATGAATATGCATAACGTTTCATGCAAAGTCGCTCTTGATTACTGTCTCTTTACTTTTTTCTTTATATCATCTATAAAGGTTTGACTTTCAAAGAGCATCTAGCCAACCACACATTTAAACAATGCATAAAGAGTGAAAAAGCCTCTTTAAATAAATAAATAAATATACAGGTGCATCTCAATAAATTAGAATGTCATGGAAAAGTTCATTTATTTCAGTAATTCAACTCAAATTGTGAAACTCGTGTATTAAATACATTAAATGCACACAGACTGAAGTAGTTTAAGTCTTTGGTTCTTTTAATTGTGATGATTTTGGCTCACATTTAACAAAAACCCACCAATTCACTATCTCAACAAATTAGAATACTTCATGAGACCAATAAAAAAAATTTTTTAGTGAATTGTTGGCCTTCTGGAAAGTATGTTCATTTACCGTACATCTACTCAATACTTGGTAGGGGCTCTTTTTGCTTTAATTACTGCCTCAATTCGGCATGGCATGGAGGTGATCAGTTTGTGGCACTGTTGAGGTGGTATGGAAGCCCAGGTTTCTTTGACAGTGGCCTTCAGAACTTCACTTTAAGAATGTAATTTTTTAATTTGTCCAGCAGGTGGCGAAAAAGTATTTAAATAATGCAAGTTGTCATCCACAATAACATTCAAGTTAGCCCTAATAATAAATTAACATAATAATAATAACCTAATGTAATAATAATAATAATAATAATGTGTTGCAGATTCTTGTATCTGAGAATTTCAGAAATTTCTGAAAGGACCACATGTGTAATGTGTGTGTGTGTGGTATGACATATGATGTAACAAATTGTAATTAGCATTGCCTTTACATATACTACTAATAATATACAGTAATAAGACGGTGTAAACGATGAGGGGTGGGGGAGTGACGTCACAAATTGAGAGCCAGGATCAACTTCTGCTCACTTTGCATTCCGGATAGATGGCGCCGCTTTTCCTCAAAACATTATAAGTTGGACACGAAAAAATATGTCTTTGATGGATGGAACATTAGTGCAGTTTATCACAGCACTATTTACAATGAAGAAATCGAGTCTAGTTCATATGCCGCTCGTGTAAACATCATTTAGGCATCAGCAAACATCAGCGCATCGGGTGGACGGACGGACTGCAGCATCCACCTGAATCTCCTCCTCAGCCTCCGCCTCTCTGAGATATTATTACACCCGACCGGAGACCGGAGGCTATGGCAGCCGATGGAGGATGCGGGGAATCGGTGGATCATTACCGGGCCGAGGTGGAGAGGCTGACCCGAGAGCTCGCAGAAGCGAACCGGGAGAAGATCCGGGCTGCGGAATGCGGTCTGGTGGTGCTGGAGGAGAACCAGACGCTCAAGCAGCAGTACGCCGAGCTCGAGACCGAGCAGGAGGCTCTCAAACAGGAGTTAGAGCAGCTGCAGGAGGTAAACACAGCTCGGGTGATCTGCTATACAGTGTATATGTGTGTATGCGTTTATGCATGTATGTGTGTAAGTGTACAGTATTTATGGAAATGAGGAAGATGTATTTAATGTTATATTTATACACACAGACATGTGTAATATTTGATATGTATTTTAACCTGTCTTTCATTAACAGTACCATGGTATTTTCATGGTACTGTTTTGTAAGTATATTTTAAAATATGTGACCCTGGACCACAAAAGAGTAAATTTTTAATACAACTATTTGAAAATCTGGAATCTTGAGGGTGCAAAAAAAAAATATTGAGAAAATCGCCTTTAAAGTTGTCTAAATGAAGTCCTTAGCAATGCATGTTACTAATCAAAAATTAAGTTTTGATGTATTTACGGTTGGAAATAGGCATGGGCCGGTATGAGATTTTGACGTATGATAACCTTAATCAAAAATATCACGGTTCCACGGTATCACGGTATTGTCATTACAGCTCTAAAATGTGTTATTTTTAAATGACTGGGTAAAAAAAAATTAAAAATAACAACATACAGAATATTAGGAACAGTAGAATGTTTATTTTTCTTTGATTTGTTTCCTAAAAAGAAGAAAAATAAAGACTGACATCTTTATTTAACCTAAATCTGTAATTACAGTTATTTAATTTTAGTTATATAATTCATATACATATCATTTATATCATTTCATATCGTTTAGTTATATAATTTCATATACATAATTTAATGTAATAATAACCCAATTTAAAGCAAAAACGGAATGTTTTTACCGCAGGAACAGTATAACGGAAAATATTAGCGGTTTTGAAACCGTGAAATTTTCAAATCGCAGTATACCTTGAAACCGGTAATCGGCCCATAGTTGGAAATTTACAAAATATCTTCATGGACCATGATTGACTGATGATTGATGATTTACTTAATATCCTAATGATTTTTGGCATAAAAGAAAAATCGATAATTTTGACCCGTGCAATGTATTGCTGGCTATTGCTACAAACATACCCGTGATACTTAAGACTGGTTTTGTGGTTCGGGGTCACATATTGTTAAATTAAATTAAGTTTTCATTCATGCTTAAGTGTGGATGGATTCTTTTGTCACAGGTTTATGAAGCATCTTTGGTGTGTCAGGAAGCTTTCTGGGCCGCTGGCCCATATTGTCCATCCCTGCTGGGAATTTTTGTCTTCTCTCTGTGCATCTCTGTCTGAATGTCAATAAGATGTTTACTCAATATGGCATATATAAGCTACATTTTATTGTCTGTTTATTGGTATGTATAAAACTCAGACAGAACTAAGCAGATGTTGGCTTGTTTAGTCAGATCCAAATAACGTTTGAAGCTTGTATGAAGCGTTTGTATTGTTATAATGCACTTTAAAATGTTTTTAAACATCATATTCACCCTAAGCCATCAGCATGTTTTTTTTTAATTGTCTGAGTTTCCTTACATCCTAAATTATAAGTACGATGAGTCAAATGGAGCATACAGTAACCATCCAAAATGGACACCCTTTGCTGTTTTGTTACTGTATTCGATCGATAACATATCTGGGACAAATGGACTCTTTTAGAGAGGTGAAATGATGAAGAGATAGGGATGAAAGGAGAGAGACAGCGGTAAAATGAGACCAAAAGAGATGGAATGAGATACTTTCTGACTGCTGCAGTGATCCAGGAACTGTGGGTGCATTTATTTATCCATTGATAGTCAGTGTTAATGATGACATAGAGGGGTATGGTAGCATGTTGATTTGATAAATCTGAAAGTTCCTCATAATATGTCATAATTGATGAGTGTTTTGTATTAAACCACACTACAATGCAAAAGTTTAAGGCCCGGAAAATTGTAATGTTTGTTAAGTCTCTTATACTCACCAAGGCTGCATTTATTTATTAAAAACACAGTAAAAACAGTAATATTTTGAAACATTGTTACAATTTAAAATAACTGTTTTCTATTTTAATTTATTTTCAAATGTAATTTATACCTGTGATGGCAAAGCTGTTTTTTCTGCAGCCATTACTCCGGTCTTTAGTGTCACACGATCCTTTAGAAATCATTTTAATATGCTCAAGAAACATTTATTATCACATGCTTTATTCTTATATACATTTTTAAGGATTTTTTGATTAATTGAAAGCACCTGAAAAGCATTTATTTCAACTAGAAAAAGGTCTGAATAAAAATATTCATAATTTTAGTATTCATATACTTTTAAATGGTATGTGCATTTCTTATATATGAATTTGTTTGATAAAAATGGCACATTGAAGCAGAGTAGCCTGACCTTTTGACCCTTGTTTAGGTGTCGTCAGTGTTGAAAAAAAAATTCTAATTTATTTTCAGAAAATGACACATATTAATTAATGTTACTTGGACCGATTTTTTTTTTTTTCCAAAGTCTTTTCAAAGAATGTGTCTTAATTATTATATGACTGTCCTTGTGTTCCCTAATGACCCCTAAATTCTCCTGAAGTAAAGCACACTGGAAGACCAACGACTATGACTAATGGGTCTTTGTTCAGCTTCACAATACGTATGAATGCTTATCTCAGACGTTTATAGTTATTCACTGACAGCAGTGAGTCATTTGCAGTAAATGATTGTCATGAAATTGTGTCAGTAATTGCATTTTTTCATGGCAGCTCCCCCTAGATCAGGCTAGTCTGCCTTGTGGGCTTGTCTTTAATTAACTCTATCATGGAAATCATGATATAGCTTGTCGTTCAAAGCCAGCCCAAAAATTGGGGTCAGTCTGACATAAATTGCTTTCATTGTATCAATTCATTTGGAATTGCATAGAACTATGCAGCATCTGTTAGTTATTTGCAATGCAGTATTATATTTAATCTATTCAGATTTAATTTCAGAAAAATTAGAATTCTTCATGTTTATTTAGAAAAACTTTTAAGTACAGACAGTGCAGACAGTTGATTTATCTTCTAAGATTCATAGTACAATCAATAATGCACATCTGTTTTGCTGCTTGCCTTTCGGATAGTATCTCTGTTTCTATTCAAAGCATCTGTGCTGTTTGTAATAGAGTCTGTCTGCGGCTGATAGTCTCGTGAAGGGCACGAGTCCTGGAGGTGATATTTTCTCTTGAGGATTGACTTGCTGTATTTGGTCTCTTTTCTCCTTATCTGTCTACATTTCTCCTTTATTCTGATGAATATTAAACAGAATGTGAAAGACCACACTGCACTATTTGCCTTTGGGCTCCCAGCTCAATTCCTTGGAGAGTTTTGCCAGAATTTACTTGCAAATCAGATTTTCTGAATGTAGAAATGCCATTTGAAATCTTTTTAAGAGACGCCTTCACCGTATACACACCTTTTTGTTTGTATTTAGAAGTTGTATTGTTTCTATATATATATATATATATATATTATATATATATATATATTGTGTTCTACAAAAAAGGCTAAATGTCTTTTTGAACATCATTAGGGTGAGTAAATTATGACAGAATTTTCTCTTTTCTGTTTACTTGTTACAAAGAAATAAATCCTCTTCAGTTAACAAAATGAGTAAAATGATTCACTGTTATGCGTTTGTTTTTTAATCTATTTGTGGTAAACAGCAGATAGAGCTCAAAATGTTTTTCGGTCCCTCAGGAAACAGAGGAAATTGTCTGTTGAGTGTTTTATGTTTACAAATGGAGGGTGTGTGTACTTGAACAGTAATGCCCTTCAGTCCTGTTTCCACTGAATGCTCTTGATGGGACTTGATCTACAGTGATAAGACCTTTATGATTTTTGGAAGATGCTGAACATCTCATATCTGAGCTGTTAAACTGGTATGGTCTTTAGAGTTAGTACAAATGGGTCAAAGAGTTCTACATTCTAGGCTATACCTGTGTATTTATATTTTTATCAAAGCATTCAAGTTCAAACCCATGCTCTTGGTGTTGCTGGCACCTTGCTTTACTCTTTGAGCTACATAACTTGGCAGTAAACAAAGTAAGAGTGTAAGTGGCACTGTGTAAGGTAGGGTGGGAATATGGTAGGAACTCTGATGAACTCTTTGAGTCTCATCCTTAGTAACTGTCGGGCCTCTTTTAAATACTCACTAAAGGGCATAGAGCATTTCTAGGTCATCCATATGGAGTCATAAATCTGCCTGTCCTAGACTGAGAAAGAAAATGAAAAGTGATGTCATAAGAGACAGAGAGAAGGACACAGTAGATAGGAAGCCTCGTAGGACTCCTGCCTGCCTCCCCCTCACAACATCAGCAGGGGTTCTAGAAGCTGATCGATAAAAACTGGTCGTACAGGCCCTAGTTTTCTGCCCAACCCCCATAGTCTAACCTCTTGGCACAAAGGACCTCATCTCTCAAGATTCCCAAGTGGTGAGAGATATTGATTTTAGTCTCTGATGCTCTGATGCAAATGATTATTGCATTGTGAGCCAGCACCACACTCCAAAGTAATACCAATAAACAGCATTTTCAGTGCTACTACAGAGAGAAGGCCTAATTAATTATATACTTATAGGAGAGCATCACTATTTCAGTGCTCATTCTTAGGATTAAGGATTTAGATAAAATCATCTGCCATAAATATGGGGCCCTATGAAATCTGTTTTATTTCTTCCCAAATTCTCTTTTTTTTCAGTTGTAATTTCTCTGGATAAATGTTCTAGTAATCAAAAAGCGCATAAAATTAATTGAAGTCATGAAATACAGTACATACAATTTAAGAACAATTTATTGAAAATTCAACAAAAATTCATTTTTAGGGCCCTATGAAATCTGTTTTATTATTCCCCAAATTCTATGTTTTCCATTTTAATTTTTACAGATTTCATAACATGTTTTATAATTTAAAAAGCATGTATAATCAATTTAATTCATAAAGATTTCATTAAAAAAATCTTTTTTTTTTTTTTACAATAATAGGGAACAATAATACTTTTTTATATATATATATATATTTTTTTTTTAAAGGAAATTCTGTATTGTCTGTCTAGTTTTTCTGCATTTGTG